TCACAGTGTAAAATTGAAAGAAAAAAAAAAAAATTCCGTACTGTCACCAGTCAGTGGCCCTAATCACTGCCCCACCAGTTATATGATGATGTTGTATTGCACTGATGACAGTATGTAAAAAAAATTTTTTTTTGCTAGCCCTGCCCCTGTTAGGGAGATTCACCCACTCTATTTGTCTTGTTTACCATTATCATTGAAAGTGAAAGTAAAAGAAAATTAAAAATTTTCGGATGCCCCAAGAAAATTAATAGAGGGGAAATCTTCCAATGGGGACAATAGATCTGGTGACCTGGGGGGCCCAAGGGATTCCTTTAATTTGCAGAAATTTCCTCTCCCTTCTTGTTTTGGCTATAGGAAACGTTAAGGTAAATCTCTCCAATGGGACACAGATGGCAAAAAAAAAACTGATGGGGTCATAACCCTCCCTTTTTTTATCCAAAATAAAAAAAGGTTTGCCTATAGTTTTTCTTTAATTCATCCTCATAAGCTGCATGTTTCTTCCAGATCAGTGACTCGAAAAAAAAAACAAATTGGATCAGCATAATCGGCAAATAGTATCTTCACAATCAGAAGTTAGTAATGGCGGTCTTCATGCTCTCTCAACTTAGGTTTTCCTTTCTTTGAGTTCTTACAAGATATTAAGTATACCTGAGTTTTTACAAAGCTGAACTCCAGGCAAACAGTGAATGGACTACATACAGTATATAGGGGCTGATTTACCTGCCAAATGATACGCATTTCGTCCATCCAGTCCTGATATTTACACCATTCTGCCTCACAGGATAGTCTTGCCTGCCAGGAGAGGGGACCTGATCTTTCTTTACTTACAGGTCTCCTGCCCACCCATTGACTGGACAGTGAAAGGAAAAGCAGTAGACTGATGACTTCATCTATCTGTCACTTTGTTGTCTCCACCTACCAGTATGCCCCTTATGCACTGTAACACAACTATTATAAAATAAAAAAGTATGCTGTCTCCTTAAATGTCCTCAGATTCACAAATACTCACAATAAATAAGTCACATATCCATGACAAAAATAACTAAGCAATAAAAGAAATTTCATACCCTATGCTATGTTAAAATAATGTGCAAAACAGCAACTCTAGTTAATAGGGGTATTAATGAGGATATTATTGACAAAACATCAATTAATTAACTACTCTTTAATGATGAATAATAATGCTGCAGTGCTAAAGGTGCTTCTCAAACAGTGAGGCCTCCTACCAAACAGGATTGATCTCAGAAAAGAGAGATCACTTGCGCTTTGTTTGTCTCACAGTGGGGAGCCAACACTCTCACCATCAGACCTCAAGGCAGCTTCATGATCCCTTCAGCAAGATTCAACAGCAGTGTCCCCACCACAGGAATACTGTATATGCCTCAGCCTCTACTCCACCACTATGCTCCAGCTAAGATATATATCAGGTACAAAAAAAGGGAAGGCTCATAGTACTATACTGTAAAATCCAATTTAATAAAAAGTCATTGCACTTACAACGGTAGGGAGTTACAAGCAGTAATCAAACTCCAAGCACGGCAACGGGACTCTCCACCATGTCTGTGCATGATGACGTCACAGTTCTACTGTAGCCCTACTCCATCATGCGACACTGTTGAGTACTCTTGAGACAGATAGAGATTTCATTATGTGGCACTTAATAACTGCTGAGTTTTTTTTTTTTTTTTACTATAAAAAAAATCCTAAAATTTGAAAAATGTTATTTTGTGTTAAAATAAAAATACCAGAATAGTAAGAAAACCCCTGAAATTACCTTTTTTTTTTTTTTTGTAAAGTAGACACCACAAGGTGATCTTATTTTTTTGCCACAATTTTTTTGGAAATGAAGAAACGTGAGTACTGAGGGCCTAAACACGGAGATTGAAAATGGTGCACTTGATACATTATTGTACTGGGCATACACAAAGGAGGAAGTGAACTAGTTAATGCACTAGTCACATACAGTGTCCAGATGGTGGTGAAGGGTTTAATGTTTAGATGGGCAGGATAAGGGAAGAGAGGGGGTAATATACAGGTCACTAGGGACAGTACCGGAGATAGTATGTGTTGGATAGAGGGGGCAGGAAAGGGTTAAAAAAAAAAGATTCCTGTGTCACTGTAACCAGAGCCAGGACAATGGGTGCACCGTGGATGAAAGGGACACGTGCCCTTGGTGTGGCGGATCTACGTAGAGAGGGGGCACTGAGAGTAGATGCCGACACTCTTGTCATTATGAACAGAGCACAGTGCAGGCTGCCATTTCCGCTGGAGGAAGGATTTTGCTGCCCCCTCCCTCGAACGGGACTGGATCTCCTCTGGCAGTTTCAGGTGTAGGCTTATATACACAGCGCACAACTATCCTTCAATGACATCACAGATCTTCATATATTCTCACCAGATTCTCCCCATGAAGCACACGTTGTACATCATACAATCTTCTCTGTCTCTTCTTTATCATCTACTCCACTGATCCCAATCTCCAAAAAACGAAATAAGCTAATATAGTGTAGTAGGTTTAAATATACTCTAATTCGTGATACACCTGTGTGCCAATTATACGCAGCCACAACCGTGTAAAACTGAATAAACATTCCGTGAATAGTATCCACCGCCATCCACACAAATTACTCTTACCCTCACGGTGAATATGTGCATATAATCAGGATATCACTCCCCATCCATATATCTTAAGCTCTTGATTGAAGTATAACCATACACCATCCACCTTCAGTGTTCAAACAAATTGGCGTGCTCTTCCCTTCCCCTTTTAGGCATGCACCTTACCCTGCATACATCAATAGTGCAATCTTCACTCTACTCCTCTCCTCAACAATTCCTTGTATACTCTCGATCACCATATAAACATAAACATACAAGCCCATACTGCAGCAGTAGTGTATTTATTATTAAAATTGTACTCATATGGAAGAAGAATACAAACAACCTGTACCAAAATGGCTGCCGCGGCAATTCCGGTGACGCCTGACTCCACCCCACTCCACACCTGATGTGTCACATCATCAAATTGACTTCCTCATAGGTGAAGGCTGCCTGTTGTGTGGTGGGATGGGGATGGGGATGTGGAGAATTCGGAGATCCAACCCGCCCGCCTGCACGCTTGCTCGCCTGACTGACCTAAATCTATGCCTGCCCGCCTCTCTGAGTAAACCGCCCGCCAGCCTACCTGAACCACCTGCCAGCCTGAGTGAACCACTCGCCCACCTACCTGAGTGAACCACCCACCTACCTGAACTGCCTGCCTACACTCCTGAGTGGACCGCCCATCTGTCTACCTCAACAGCCCACTGGAGTGAACCGGCCGCCTGTCTACCTGAACTGCCTGCCTGGCTGCACTGTTGGAAGAGGGAGATATGAGCTGAGGTAAACTCTGGCTGCATTTGATGTCATTGCTCCTGCTCCCTGTCCCACTCCAGAGCACTAGGGGAAAGGGACAGGGAGCAGGCTGGAATTGAGGAAGGGGTTAACATTGCCATGAAAACCAATGCAGATGGAGGATGTGGGGGCCACAAAGCTACCCCCCTCCTGCATTCGTCTTCATGGAAGTGAATGTTAACCCCCTCATCTCCCCCCTCCCCCACCACCACCACCATCCCTTTGCATTGGTCCTCATGGCAGTGGAATTTTAGCCCACTACCCTCTTCTGCATTTGTGGTAATGTCATTGAAATTTAAGCCTTCCCCCCACATTGGTGGTCATGGGAGGAGTCACATTTCAATGCCTCTGACCACCAAAGTGGAGGAGGGGGTTAATAATACTGACACCTGTGCCGGGAGTTATTAATGTGTCCTCTGACACCAATGCTGGGGGTTATTAATGCATCCTCTGACACCAATGCTGGGAGTTAGTATGGCGTTCACTGGCATCATTGTTGAGTTATTATGGCATCCACTGACACCAATGCTGGGAGTTATTAATGTGTCCTCTGACACCAATGCTGGGGGTTATTAATGCATCCTCTGACACCAATGCTGGGAGTTACTATGGCGTTCACTGGCACCATTGTTGAGTTATTATGGCATCCACTGACACCAATGCTGGGAGTTATTATGCAGGGAACAATGGCATCCCTACCAGCGGTTGATACAGCACTGGGAGAGAACTCAGGTGCCAGCCACAATGAGGTCAAGATGGCGGAGCCATGGGGATCCCACTGATGAAGTCACATGGGTGTGATATAACACGTAAGGGCGTGGCTGTGTGGCAGAAGTGAACTGTGTCTAACACTACCTGGAAGTGCAGCTTATCTGGTGATGTTTTTTGCCTGATTTAGGGTATTTTTAGTTAGATTGACATGTGAGCGCAATACATTTTAACATAATAAAGACACCCTTGTTGGTACATACTACACCATTGGAGTGTCCTTTTGTCTCCTTCATTAAGGGCGATTATCTCAGACCTCCAACACCCCCCCCCCCTTAAAGGGACCGGATCCCATATCTGGCTTGATGCTGTTTTAAAGTACAAAGATGTTTGACCATCTCTACAAGGCTAAAGATCGGGAGAGTGAAAGAACCCTTACTGATGTGGTATTATTAAGCGCAATTTGATTTCTCTGAGGTGAGAGTTCTGTGAGCACTGAGGTGACACCGCCAGCATGGTTATAGCACTTATCTAATGGTGCGGGTTTTGAGCACATGAAGAAGCAGGTGAGCTGTGAAGAGTTGAATTGTTCACAATATCACTGATTATTTCACATTATATGGACTTGGTTTATGGACATTCATTTAATATTTAGTGTATACCACACTCTATACACCTTCATATATTGCTCCTTATATATAAATAGATTTCAGTGTAGTGTACAATTTAACCACCGCCCGCCATATAGTATAGTAATATGACGGACGCAAGGTGGTTCTCTCGTTCTGGGAGGACGTCATATGGCGTCCTCCCATTCTTAGAGCGGCGATCGGCGGTGCGTTGTGACCCTCGGAAACAGCGGATCACCGATCACGGAAAGAGCCGACGATGTCGGTTTGGTCATGTGATCAGCTGTGTCCACTCACAGCTGATCACATGTAAACAGGGAAATTCCAGTTATCGGCATTTCTCTCCTCTCGAGCTGTCACGTTGACAGCTCATGAGGAGAGGAGAGCCGGTAATCAGCTTTCCGCGGAGGGGACATGTACACTGATGATCAGGGCACTGATGATCAGTGTGCCCTGATAATCAGTGTAGCCCCAGCAGTGTCACCTGTCAGTGTCCATCAGTGCCTTGTGTCAGTGCTCATCAGTGCCTCATGCCAGTGCCCATCAGTGCCACATCAATGCCAAATATCAGTGCCTACCAGTGCACATCAATGCCACATATCAGTGCCCATCTGAGCTGCCTTTCAGTGTCACCCATCAGTGCTAGTCAGTGCCACCTATCAATGCCAATCAGTGCCACCTATCAGTGCTGACAGTCAGTGCCACCTATCAGTGCTGCCAGTCAGTGCCACCTATCAGTGCCAGTCAGTGCCGCCTATCAATGCGCATCAGTGCTGCCTGTCAGTGCCGCCTATCAGTGCCAGTCAGTGCCGCCTAACAGTGCCAGTCAGTGTCGCCTATCAGTGCTGCCTATCAGTGCCACCTATCAGTGCCATGTATCAGTGCTGCCTTTCAGTGCCCATCAGTGATGCCTGTCGATGCCCATCAGTACCACCTACCAGTGCCTCCTCATCAGTGCCCATCAGTGCCACCTATCAGTGCCACCTATCAGTGCCCATCACTGCAGCCTCATTAGCGCACATCAGTGAAGGAGAAAAATCACTTATTTACAAAATTGTATAACAAAAACTAAGAAAAAACTTTTTTTCTTCTAAATTTTCAGTGGTTTTTGTTTTTTTTTAAGAAAAAAAAACCCAGAGTTGATTAAATACCACCAAAATAAAGCTCTATCTGTCACAAAAAAATAATAAAAATTTCATATGGGTACAGTGTTGCATGACCGCGCAATTGTCACTCAAAGCACGACAGCGCTGAAAGCTGGAAATTGGCCTGGGCAGGAAGGGGGTATAAGTGCCCTGTAGGCTTGTGGTTAAAAATGTATGACAATAACCTCCGGTGCGATTGCAGAGTGTTCAGCTTGAAGTCAGTGCAATTCATCATATTGCTCAGGGAGGGGAGGCAGGATCATGAGACCAGTGGGGGGATGATCCCTCCACTCTCTCTCCCACCCCTTCCTGGCTGCTCAGTGTAATCTCACACCCAGCGCTCCCTTGGGCTCACCCAACTGCGCCCTCCGGTCCTGCTTGGCTCCTGAGGATGGTGATCACCCCCAGGTGTGCTCTCCCCCCATCAGCACCAGTATCTCCATCTCCCCATCCTCCCCTTCCTCTCCAGGGAAGAATGTTGAGGATGTGAGGACCAATAGAGCTCTGCCAGAATCTGCCCTTCTTTTTCAGTGTTCAGGATTGTCCTCCCCGAGAGGTGCAGCACTGAGGATTAGGAAGAACCAGGAACTGCTCCATGCTGTCAAGGCTGAGGACCTGGGCATGATGCTGAATCTGCTGCAGAGATCCATAGTGGGCAAAACCAGTGAGTACACTCACTGATCTACCTACCGAGCTACCTACCTACTGTGGTAATGATGGGTCTAATGGGATCAGTCAGTGGATAATGACATTATAATGGGGGAGAGGGGGATCAGGACCGGCTGGGGGCAGGGGCAGACTGACCATTTGGGCACTGCCCAAGGGTCTGGGGCTAGTAGGGAACCTCATTCCCTGCATTCTGCAGAAGCAGGCTGGAGTCCTGGAGCCCAGTGCCAGAAAAACGTTCTGGCATTTTGCTCCACTAATTCACCTCACTGCAGGGGAGAGTACACTGTAAGAGATTACTCTGGGGGATTTCCCTGGGAAGGGGGGGATTTACACTGGGGGTATTACACTTCTGGGAGTACAGTGGGGGGATTTACACAGGAGGAATGCACTGGGGGGATTTACATGCTGGGAGGGGAGATTTAGGGAGTGAAAAAAGATTTGTGCTGGAATGACGAATTTGAGGTGGGGGGGGGGGGGTTTTGCCCGGAGGAGGGGATTGGGGGAAAATAGTTTTTTTCTGGTTGATATTGGGGAGAAGGAAGATTTTTGTTGGGTGGATTTTTGGAGGGGAAGAGAATTTGTACTAGAAAGGGGATTTGGAGTGGTTGTAGGGCAGATTTTTGTTGGGAGGGGGAATTGAGGGGGAGAGGATTTGTGCTGGGAGGAATGAGAGTGCAGAGTTGTGATGGAGGGGAAGGAGTGGGAACTTTGCTGAAAGGGTTAAGTGGAGAAGAGTATTGCTTGAGGGGAGCATTTTGTACTCTCCCACCCCCTACACTATGTGTTACACAACCCCCAGTCCTACACACTTTTTCTTATGTACTTCCAACCTCTACCATGCATAATATATTCCTGACCCTGCTCTCTGTGCATTATATACGCCTAAATCTGACACTGCCTGCAGCACTCTGTGAGTTACCTACTCCTGACCCTTGCACCCAGTCCTCTGCACTCTCACAGACTCCTGCACTATATAAAATATATTGTACATTACATACTTCCAGGGCTTTTTTCTCAGAAAATAGGTGCAGGTACTCCCCCTCCTCTGAGTCATCCCTTGTCTCATCCCTGACCAACCTCTGAGCACCGTCCTTGCCTCCTATCCACCTCCTAGTGGTTCTCCTTTTAGAGAATACAGAGCCAACTAGCACTTTGTGGTGTTAAGAAATTTGTATGGAATTGGTTAATGATAATAGACCTCCCAGCGACAATAGATCCTTGCCAGCAACCATACCACCCCCAGGAACAAAATACACCACCAGTGACAATAGATCCTTTCCAGAAACAATAATCCCTCCTCCGGAGAACAAAATACACTCCAGCAACAATAGATCCTTTTAATCAACAATAGTCCCTCCCCCCCCAGGACCAAAATACATCCCAACAACAATAGATCCTTTTCAGCAACAATAGTCCCTTTCACCAGGAACAAAAACACCCACATCAATATTAGATCCTTTCTAGCAACAACAGTCCCTCCCCCAGGAACACATTACACCCATAGCAACAATAGATCTGTCCCAGAAACAATAGACCCCCCCTAATGGCAGCAATAGATTTCCCAGAGGCCAGCATCAGTAGATCCCCCCAACAACATAAGAACCCAGGAGTGATAATACCACCTACACTCCCTAGCTACAATAGATCCCCAGTACCAATATACCCTTTAGCACACTACAGCTAACTTTGCTAGTACATACATTCTGTGCTGGAGGTGCCAGAACTGCACTTCCTCCACGTTCCCGCTGCAAAAAAACCCTGCACACTTCTCACCAAAGTGCTCATTGTCTCAGCAAATGCTAGTTGCTCAGCAGTCCCTGCCTATTTTAATGAGGTTCTTCTTTAAGATAGGCACAAATAAAGTGTTAGCTATTTTCAGTGTGCACAAAATCATATTTATTCACCTGCCATCCTGAGGATTTACCCCCCTTAATGACCAGGCCTCTTTTTGCTATTCAACACTGCACTATTTCAACTGATAATTGCGAGGTCATGCAATGCTGTACCCAAACAAAATTTACGTCCTTTTTTCACACAAATAGAGCTTTCACACAAATATAGCCAAAATGTATTCTGCTCCATGTTTCTGGTAAAAAGAAATCCCAATAAGTGTATATCGATTGCTTTGTGTGAAAGTTATAACATCTACAAACTATGGTATAGATACTGCAATTTATGCCATTTTTTGCTATACAGTGCTGCACATATGAAATGTATGTCCTTTTTTTTTCACACAAATAGAGCTTTCTTTAAATGGTATTTGATCACCTGTGCACTTTTTATTTTTGTCGCTATAAACAAAAAAGGTTTTGAATTAATTTTTGTTTTAAACAAACAATATTTTCTCATTTCTGTCAAAAAATATCCAAAAAACTCAAATTTCATCATCATAAAATTTAGGCCAAAATGTATTCTGCTACATGTTTTTGGTTAAAAATCCCAATAAGTGTATATTGATTGCTTTCTGTGAAAGTTATACCTTCTACAAATTATGGTATAGATCAGGGGTGGGCAACTGTGGCCCTCCAGCTGTTGTAGAACTACAAGTCCCACAACAGCGCTAGAGCTAAAATACCAGGACAGTACAAACACCCCCAAATGACCCCTTTTCGGAAAGTAGACGCCCTAAGCTATCTGTTGAGAGGCATATTGAGTCCATGGAAGATTTTATTTTTTTCCCACGTGTTTTTGGAATATGATAAAAACATTTTTTTTTTTTTTTTTCACAAAGTTGTCATTTAAATTATATATTTCTCACACAAGCCATGGGTATATGCAGAATTACACTCCAAAATACATTCTTCTACTTCTCAAGTATGGGGATACCACATGTGTCAGACTTTTTGGGAGCCTAGCCACATACAGGAGCCTGAAATTCAGTGACCAGTTTGAAAGCCTGAAGGTGCATAACTTCCTCATTTCATTTCCTCACTACCTATCACAGTTTCAGAGGCCCTGAAATGCCAGGATAACACCAACCCCCCCCCCCCCCCAATGACCCCTTTTTGTAAAGTAGACACCCCAAGGTATTTAAAAAGCGGCTTGTGAGTACTTTGCAGATCTAATTTTTTTCACAAAATTGTTTTTCTTTTTTCATTTTCCAAAAACCTGTGGCAACAAATGAGATCTGAAAACTACTCGCAATGCTTCTTATCAAATTCCTTGGGGTGTCTACTTTCCAAAAAGCGGTCATTTGGGGGGGTTCAGTACTATCTTAGCATTTCAGGGCCTCCGAAACTGTGATAGGTAGTCAGGAAGTGTAAAGAGGAAATGAAGCCCTTTAAAAGCCTGAAGGTGCTTATTGGATTTTGGGGTCTTGTACTTGGCTAGACTGCCAAAAAGTCTCTCACATGTGGTACCCCCATACTCAGGAGAAGTAGCAGAATGTATTTTGGGGAGTAATTCCACATATACCCATGGCATGTGTGAGCATTTGAGTTACATTTTTGTAAAAAAAAAAAACATTTTTTTTTGTAATTTTCCAAAAACTTGTGTTGAAAAAATAAATTCTTCTATTGACTCAACATGCCTCTCAGCAAATAGTTTGGGGCATCTACTTTCCAAAAAGGGGTAGTTTTTGGGGTGGGGGCATTTTATGCCAAGCATTAGAAGTTTATGCCACACATCATTCACTCTTCTAACTACCTGAAGACAAAGCCTTTTCTGACACTTTTTGTTCACATGAAAACAAAATCTGTATTCTTTGCAAGGAAATTACTTTGAACATACATTATATATTTTTTAAAGCAGACACCCTAGTGCAGTGGTGGGCAACCTTTTTTTCAACTGAGCCAAATCTCGCCAAAACCACGATTGAAATTTATTTTGAGAGCCACATTTTTAAAACTGAAAATACATAGGATGGTACACTGTTTTTAGTTTCAATA